TCTCTCCTCCAAGGGTCAAAGCATTCTGAATGCCAATTTATAGAAATTATGTTGGAATTCTAATGAAATACTTCAGTATTTCTTTATAAATTGTTTCTGTCTAAACCAGTGAGAAATGGGCCAAATGTATGACCTCAATTTCTGCCTCTTCATATTAGTGGAGGCCTGGGACAGGTTGTCTATGGGTACTGCCCTTCTCTGGAGATCCACTCTTGAATTCATAAAGAGAAGGACATTTAATTCCCAAGCTCTTCTGAGATATTTCTCACCTGCTCAGGCAGGTTTTCCTTGTTATCTGTGAAGACAGAGATATATAGGTGACTTTCTGAACCGTCAAAATGCAAAGGCGTCTAAGTTGGGCAGGATTCAACAGTAAGTGCCCACTGGGAGGCTTCCACAAGAGGATGCTTTTGTAGATTCCCCAGATCTTGTTGGTAATTTGGGGTGGTTGTCTGTAGTTGGATGGTGGCAGAAAAACCATGTCGTCTTCCTCCACAGAATGTCCTACAGTTGCTGTGTGGAGCCTCTGAGTTCCTCTGGAGCTCAGACAATGGCATGCTAGTCTGCTAGGAAGGAGAGGGGAGAGGCGCTCTTTTTCCTCAGTGTGCACATACTCAGGTCAGGAGTTCTCAGGGTCCAGGATTCAGGATATGGCCAGGCACCTAAAAGAAAAAGCTTATATTAGATATTGGATGAGGCTGGCAGGAAGATATATTCACCATCCTAGACCTGTGGCCTTTCAGATAATAACTGATTTATTTTTGATGGAATTCAGGACCTAATGAGGCAGGAATAATGACTTTTTTCTTCCCATGTGACTTCCTGAGGGAGAATTCAGTGGGGTCTCCTTGAGAAGCCCTGATTGCAGGGATTGGTTTGTCCTAGCTGTTCTGTTACTGTCAAATATACAGGCTCTAGGATCAAGAAGGAAATGCAGTTTCACCAACATGTCTGTTTCTAGATGCTGTGCTTCCTATACCCAGCTCATTGAACACTTGCCTGGATGAGACAGGATGCACATATGGTGAAGATGAGGTTTGTCTGAACATATCCACCAGAACCTGCAGATCTGAGGAAAGAAAGGATAGTCAATGAGATTTCTGGAGTTGGCCTCTGAGACTACAAGACCCAATCTCTTACCACACTAGTCATCCTATCTTTGTCAATGACCTGGGAGGAATTTAAACAGTCCCAACCAGTCAGCCACTGTCCAAAAGAGCAAGCTACCCAGCATCACTTGGACTCTCTTTATTCCACTTGGAAGTGAGTATTACTGATCAGCTTTGTGGTAGCATGTGAAAAGATCTAGGTACAAAAAGAATATATTGTCTGCACCTGTTCCTGCTGCCTCCAGGAGGCAAGCAGGGGGGAAAGGAGGGTGTTAATTGTGTGATCCTGATCATAAGGTGACTTCTCTCATGTAACTATCTAAAGGCCACAACATGCTCCCTGCAGTGACCAGTGATGTAAAAAGTTTACATTAAACTCACCTGGCTTCTTAGACATCAACTCTGATTCTTAAGGATCACATTCTTAGAGACCATCATTACAAGGGCATGGAGTTCTGTTCTGCATGTGCTGTCTCCTGAGAGATTCTATGCCTGGCCACA